ATGCAGATCGAAGCATACTATTTGCTATTTTTTTTTCTTCTGTTGTGTTTTGTTTCCTTTCTGGTGGTTCCTCCTATTAGTTCTAATTCTTACTTACAACATCACTAATGTGAAAATATGTTTAATAGGAATGTAAATGTATAGCCTACATCAGATTGTGCACTGTCTTGGGGAGGGAGGTGGAGAGGGAGGGAGAGAAAAATTTAAAACTCAAAAGCTTATGGAAGTGATTGTTGATAACTCAAAATAAATTAATTTAAAAAATAAATTAAAAAAAATAAAATAAAAAAAGAAGAAATGGAGTAGCCCTCATAGTCAATTAAAGGGTAAAAAAAGCAATACTGGGGTATAATCTCAAAAATGACCGAATGCTATCTGTTCGAATCCAAGGCAAACCATTCAACATCACAGTAATACAAGTCTACACTCCAACCACTGATGCTGAAGAGGCCAAAGTTGATCAGTTCTATGAAGACCTACAGTATCTTCTAGAAATAACACCAAAAAAAGATGGCACATTCATCATGGGGATTGGAATGCTAAACTAGGAAATCAAAAAATAACTGGAATAACAGGCAAGTTTGGCCTTGGAGGGCAAAATTAAGCAGGGCAGAGACTAATAGAGTTTTGCCAAGGTAACTCATTGGTCATAGCAAACACTCTTCCAACAACCCAAGAGGCAATTATACACATGGACATCACCAGATGGTCAATACAGAAATCAGATTGATTATATACTTTGCAGTCAAAGGTGGAGAAACTCTATAAAGTCAGTTAAAATAAGACCTGGAGCTGACTGTGTATCAGATCATGAGCTTCTTATTGCAAAATTCAATTTAAACTGAAGTAGGGAAAACCATCAGGTCATAAAGGTACAATCTAAATAACATCCTTTATGAATATGAAGTAGAGGTGATGAATAGATTTAAGGGATTAGATCTGGTAGATAGAATGCCTGAAGAACTACGGACAAAGTTTTGCAGCACTATACAGGAGACAGAACAAAAAACATTACAAAGAAGAGAAATCTTTCAAAACTGTGACCAATATGGAAATGTGTTTTACATGACAGCACATGTATTACCTATATCAAATTGCCTACCATTTTAGGAAGAGAGAAGTGGAGGAAGGGAGGGAGAAAAATGTGAAACTCAAAATCTTGTAAAAATGAATGCTAAAAATTGTCTTGATAGGTAACTGGGGGAAAAAAACTAAAATACTATTAAAAAAAAGAAAAGAAAAAGAAGAGCAAGAAAAGAAAATGGCTGTCTGATGAGGATTTACAAATAGCTGAGGAAAGCAGGAAAATGAAAGGCAAAGGAGATAGGGAAAGATATATCCAACTGAATGCAGAATTCCAGAGAACTGCAAGGAGAGATCAGGTTTTCTGAAATGAGCAATGCAAAGAAATAGAAGAAAATAATAGAATGGGAAAGACAAGAGCTCTCTTCAAGAAAATTAGAGATATCAAGGGAACATTTCATGCAAAAATTGGCATGCTAAAAGACAAAAATAGTAGTGATTTAACAGAAACAGAAGAGATTAAGAAGAGGTGGCAAGAATACACAGAAAAACTATACAAGAAAGATCTTAACATTACCAATAACCGCAATGGCATGGTTCCTGATTTAGAGCCAGACATCCTGAAGAATGAAGTCAAGTGGGCCTTAGGAAGCACTGCTAACAATAGGCTAGTGGAGGTGATAGAATTCTACCTGTGCTATTTAAAACCTTAAAAGATGAAGCTGTGGGGGCAGGTAGGTGGCGCAGTGGATACAGCACCGGCCCTGAAGTCAGGAGGACCTGAGTTCAAATCCGGCCTCAGACCAAACACTTGTCACTAACTAGCTGTGTGACCCTGGGCAAGTCACTTAACCCCAATTGCCTTTAAAAAAAAAAAAAGATGAAGCTGTTAAAGTGCTACACTCAATATACCAGCAAATTTAGAAAACACAACAGTGGCCACTGGATTGGAAAAGATCAGTTTACATCCCAATCCTAAAAAAGGACAATTCCAAAAAAATATTCAAATTACCAAACAATTGCACTCATTTCACATGCCAGCAAGGTTATGCTTAAGATTCTGCAAGCTAGGCTTCAGCAATATGTGAACTAAGAATTACCAGAAGAACAGGCTGGTTTTCAAAGAGGCAGAAGAACTAGAGACCAAATTGCCAACATTGCCTGGATTATGGAAAAACCAGCTCCAGAAAATTTCAGGAAAACATCTACTTCCGCTTCATTGATTACACTAAAGCTTTTGATTGTGTGGATCACAAGAAAATGTGGCAAGTCCTCAAAGAGAAGGGAGTACCAGATCATCCATCTTACTTGTTTCCTGAGGAGCCTGTATGAGGGTCAAGAAACAACAGTTGGAACCAAACATGGAACAACTGATTGGTTTAAGATTGGAAAAGAAGTGTGACAAGGCTGCATATTATCACCTTACTTATTTAATTTACATGCAGAGCACATCACAGGAAATGCCAGGCTGGATGAATCAAAAGCCAGAATTAAGGTTACTGGGAGAAATATCAACAACCTCGCATATGCAGATAATACCACTCTGATGGCAGAAAGTGAAGGGGAATTAAGAAACCTCTTGATGAGGGTGAAAAAGGAGAGTGTAAAAGCTGGCTTGAAGCTTAATGTCAAAAAAAAAAAAAAAAGAAAAAAGAAACTAAGATCTTGGCAATTGATCCCATCATTTCCTGGCAAACAGAGAGAGAAGAAATGGAAGTAATGTCAGATTTTATGTTCTTGGACTCAAAGATCACTGCAGATGGTAACTGCAGCCATGAAATTAAAAGATGCCAGCTCCTTGGAAAAAAAACTATGGCTGGACAGCAGACTAAAAAGCAAGAGACATCATCGTGCCAACAAAGATCATCTGGTCAAAGCTATGGTTTTTCCAGTAACAACGTATGCCTGTGAGAGTTGGACTATAAGGAAAGCTGAGAGGCACAGCATCAATACCTTCAAATTGTGGTGCTGGAGAAGACTTTTGAGAATCCCTTGAGGAGAAGCTAGGTGGCACAGTAGATAGAGCACTGGTCCTGGAGTCAGCAGGACCTGAGTTCAAATCTGGCCTCAGACACTTTACATTGTGTGACCCTGAGCAAATCACTTAACCCCATTGCCTAGGCGGGGAAAAAGAAAAGAAAGAGAATCCCTTGGACACCAAGTAGAACAAATCAGTTAATACTTAAAGAAATTAATTTCCGTCTATTCACTGGAAGATCAAATACTGAAGCTGAAGCTTAAATACTTTGGCCATATAAAAAAAGATGACACTCACTGGAAAAGATCCTGATGTTGGGCAAGACTGAAGGCAAAGGGAAAAGAGGAGAGCAGAGGATGAGAAGAATAGATAGTTTCATGGAAACAATGCACATGAACTTGGACAGACTTCAAGAGACAGTGGGAGGTAGAAGGGCCCGGTGTGCTATGGTCCACAGGGTCACAAAGAGTTGAACACAACTGAGCAAGTGAACAACAGTGGTCTTTTATCCTTTTCATTTTTGATACTAGTGACTTGGTTTTCTTCTCTTTTTTTTAATCAAATTAACCAATGTTTTATCTATTTTATTGTTGGATTGTTTTTTTTTTTTTCATAAAACCAACTCCTAGTTTTATTTATTAATTCAATGGTTTTCTTGCATTCAAGTTTATTAATCTCACCTTTAATTTTCAGGATTTCCAATTTGGTGTTTAATTGGGGATTTTTAATTTGTTCCTTTTCTAGCTTTTTAAATTGTATATCCAGAGGCAGCTAGGTGGCAGAGGGGATGGAGCACTGGCCCTGGAGTCAGGAGGACCTGAGTTCAAATATGGTCTCAGACCAGAGACTTGACACTTAGTATCTGTGTGACCCTGGGCAAGTCACTTAACTCCAATTGCCTCACAAAAAAAAAAAATTGTATATCCAATTCATTAATCTACTCTTTCTCTATTTTATTGAGGTAAGCATTTAGAGATATAAATCTTCCTCTAACAGTTTTACTGCATCTGATAAGTTTTGGCATGTTGTTTCATTATTATCATTCTAGGCTATGCAAGTTTTAAAGCAATAGTCTACTTAGGGTCTATAAATATGCCTAGTTATTGGAAAAATTTAACAACAGTTAAGGATTGGTGGGAAAGGTCCTCAACTTGCGATTTTTTGTTTGTTTGCTTTTTGTTTGTTTGGGGTTTTTTTGGTGAGGCAATTGGGGTTAAGTGACTTGCCCAGGGTCAACACAGCTAGTAAGTGTTAAGTGTCTGAGGCCAGATTTGAACTCAGGTCCTCCTGACTCCAGGGCCAATGCTCATCCACTGCGCCACCTAGCTGCCCCTTCCTTGTAATTTTCATTAAGAGATGATCCTATGTTGATTTCATTTTAACAAGAGAATGTTTGAGATTACTGTTGAAGACTTCCAAGTTCAAGCAGTTAATAAAGAATTTGTGGTTTGGTTTTGTTTTTTTTTTTGCAAGGCAATTGGGTTAAGTGACTTGCCCAGGGTCACACAGCTAGTAAGTGTCAAGTGTTTGGTCTGAGGATGGATGTGAACTTAGGTCCTCCTGACTCCAGGGCCTGTGCTCCATCCACTGTGCCACCTAGCTGCCCCTGAATGTTTTTAAAAAGGGAAATGCAAAAGCATTTTCATCTGTGCCTCAATTATTGATGTTCAGATCACCCAGTCTATTTACAAGCACTGCATCCTCACTCACCTAGTGAAAATGTGCCCTAACTGCTAATAAGTAACTAAGAGAAAATAAACAGATGTGAATGCTAGACTGAGAATGGACTCAGAGGGACCCATGAGCAGCTACTCTCCCATTTTGGTGTTTCCACGTCATCCTAAAGTTAGTGTTCAGACCCCATGGTGCTAAGCAATGTCACTGGCAGCCGTGACTCTCAGCTAGATACAGTAGTATGTGAGAGGAAATGACCATGACTAGGTGGGGTTCCCATGTAACCAGAAGAGAACGGGGGAGACAGGTGTAAGGGTTTCCTTACCTTTTGGCCAGGACACAGTAAAAGAGATGGCAAAGGAAAGAACAGTAGGGGGCTGGGCTCACAAAGACGTGTCCAGGTGAGGAATAGTCAGTCAATGAAGGGTGAGCTAGGAGGTGGCCTCCTCTGCTGCTCCTGAAGCCACTGTTTCCAGGAAAGCTACTGAGAAATCAACATGTATAATAGTTAACCATTTTTAAATATAAAAAGAATGACTTTCAGACATTTATGGGTTCAAATGTTGTTTGCTTTTTAAACCCATCAGTTTAAATATATTTTAAAATATACTAAATCTCCAAGATATCACTACAGAAGGGGAAAGATTATGAAAAGTGGGAATACTCTTGCAGTAACATCACAGGGCCTACAGCTATAAAGAACCATAGAAATCATTTAGTCCTGCCCTCCCATTTTACATACAGAGGGGGAAACTGAGGTCTTGCATGGAGATTTGACTTGCCCTACGTCATACAGATAGTTCTCGGCAGAGCCACAACCAAAACTCAAGTCTCCTGAATCCTGGGGGCACCTTCTTCCTATGCTATCATACTCCTCAATTTGACCAGTGGGAAACTGAACCATGGGATTTTCCCTAACCCTACGGATCTACCTGGATTCCAAGTTCTGGCATGCTGTCACCTGAGTCGGGATCCTGGTACAGGCCAATTCCTCTCTGTCCATCCAGAGCTGATGTTCTAAGAACCTGAAATAGGGTGGTGGTATAGAAATGAAAATGGGAAGGAAAACTCCAGGGTAAGGCTGGCACCTGGCACAAAGCATACCAGTGTCTCCAGTCGCAATATAAGCTCTTGGAGAGCAGGAACTGCTTGACTGATGCATCTGTATCCTCACTGCCCAGAAGAGTATAGTGCATATCATAAGTACTTAATTAATGTTTATGGTTGATTGTCCCTAGGTGCCTGATAAATGCTTAGTGACCTAAGTAAATCGAGGTAGAATGGAAAGGGTATGGCCACTGATTGGATGAGAGGGTAGGGCAAACACTTTCCCAGCCCTTTAAGGCTCACAAAGAACTTTCCAGTCATTATGTCACTGAATGCCTACTAAAGTCCTATTCCATTGTCAGCACCTGGAAGTAAGCCTAGGCTCTCAAGGGCTATGCCATTTTAGTGCAAGTTCTGGCAAGTACCACCAACCTTGAAAGGGGCCACGTCTAGGCCTGGTGATGGGCCTGCCATATATATCTATCATCAGAAGACAAACCTAAGTCTGGAGAGTCTTATCATCAGTTGGGGAGGAGGGCAATCCATTTTGGGGCCAAAGAAATTCTTAAAGATGACACTCCAAGTCATTGAAAGGCTGCAATCTGCATCAGTAGAGAATGTAGAGTCAAACTGATGAAATTGTGAAGTATTACAGTAATAGATACGGAAATAGCAAGTCCTACATACAGATACAAAAAGCAAACTAGATAAAAATGGACGAGGGAAGACATGGGTAGACAGCAGTTCATTTAGGAAAAATTCCTGTGGATTTTAATGGTGTAAAAGTTCAATTAGTCAAGAGTGTGAAATGGCAACCAAATATGTTGATGCAATCTTGAGACTGCAGTAATAGGATTACAGTCCCCTGTACTCTGGTCAGACCATATCTCCAGTACTGGACCTAGTTTTAGGCATCAAATTTTAGGAGGGACATCAGCAAGCTAGAGCTTGTCCAGAGAAGAGCAAACTGAGTGGTGTGGCAACTGGAAATTATACTTCACAAGAACTACTTAAAAGAACTGGGAATGTTGAGTCTAGAGAGAGGACTTTAATGGGGGGGGGGGGGGGGGGGTAGACATGATATCCACCTTCAACTATTTGTAAGACTTTCATTTGAAAAGCTGGCATTAGATTTCGTTTCACTGAGCCTCCTGAAGGCCAGAAACAATGGATCGAAATTGCATATGGAGGTCTTGATACCATATTGGGAAAAACTTCCTAACAATCAGAGCTAGGAAATGAGATGATGTATGAGATAGTAAGCTGCTTAGCACTGGAGGTCTTCAAGCACAGGCTGGATGACTACTTATCAAGGATATTGCTGGGGGGAATTCTCACTCAAGAAACCGTCCTTCATCTTAACTTCTTTATTGCTAAATCCTTCCAACTGTGAGATTCTGGGATTCTGACTCCAAGGTTTCATGCCTGACTGGGTGGCGGGGAAGATGGTGATGCTATTACTAAGACAAAGTCACGAGGAAGGTCAAATTGATTGGGAAGGATGATGAGTTCCGTTTTGGATTCAGTAATCAGTGGGACATGATATGGCAATATCTAAGAGGCAATTAGACACAAGCCTGGAGCTCTAGGGAAATGGCAGGGATAGAGATTAGGTGTGGGTATTATGTTAAGAGAGGACAGCTAAAGCCAAAGAAATGGATAAGAACCCCAAAAGAGAACATGTAGGGGTATATCTACATTTCAAGAATTCTTAAAAGGACTAGTGAAGAAGACAGAAGGATCAGTGGATAAAGAGGAGAGTACAGGATCATGGAAGTCAAGGGAAGAGAAGATATAAAGATAGAAATTCATTTAATAAGCATTCATCACAATATGAAAAGTGGTAGAGAAGTCAAGGAGACCGATAAAAAGGCTAGACAAAAGCCTTTCAGTGGAGTGTTGGAGAAATAACAGCATCAGGAGCTGACATTTACATAACACTTTAAGGTTTGCAAAGTTCTTTATGTTTATGGTCTCACTGTAGCCTAACCCTAACCCTACCACATGTAATGACCTCATGTTATAGATGAAGAGAATAAGGCTCAGGAAAGTGAAGTGATTTGCCCATGGCTATTACACACCTAGTCAATGTCAGAGGCAAAATTCAAATCAGATCTCTCCTGACTCCAGCGTAAGTGATCTTCTCACTATACCACACTGCTTCTGAAGAAAAAACTGCTCAAGCCTGAACTACATAATAAGGCAGCTATGTGGCACTGTAGTGCATATAGTGCTGGGCTTGGAATCAGGAAGACTCATCTTCCTGAGTTCAAATTTGGCTTCAGATACTTCCCAGCTGTGTGACCCTGGGCAAGTCACTTCACCCTGCTTTTGCCCCAGTTTTCTCATCTGTAAAATGAGCTGGAGAAGAAAATGGCAAACCACTTCAGTATCTTTGCCAAGGAAACCCCAAATTGGGTGTGAAGAGTCAGACGTGACTGAAATGACTCGAACACAACAAAATGAGGCAGAGAGGTCCCCATCAGTGGAGGTCTTTAAGCAGAGGCTGAGGTTGCACTGTAAGACATTATTACAGGGATTCCTGCTTAGGTATAAGCTGGAATAGATCATACAACCTGAAAAATGCTTGAAGAAACTGGGGATGTTTAGCCTGTGGGCCAGAACAACAGTTTCCAAGTATGTGAAGGGTGCTCAAGCAGAAGATGTGCTGGCCTTGTCCTGCATGGCCCCACAAGGCAGAACTAGAAGCAATGTACAGAAGATGCAAAGAAACCAATTTAGGCTCAGAGGAGCATCATATCTGGGATATGTGTTCTCACCTTCATCTCAGATATTCCTTCCCACCCCCCACTCCCCATCTCCTGTCCCCCACTATTGCTACTCCATCCTGACTTCCAGAAAACAGACCTGGAGAAGCAAAGTTCCTCAGCTTTAAACTGCCTGGAACCACGCATCCTCATCTTCACACCCTTGGCCTTTTGCCACCCTGCCCCCCACTTCCTCCCATTTTGTTGTAAGAACTGTAATCAAATCAAAACTACCACAGCCTGTGGAAAGGGCAGGCCCTGTCGCCCCACTTAACACCCCTAGAGACTTCCCAGACCAAAATATCCTTCCCTGGCCACTACTCGTCTCCCCCATTACACAGTAACGTCCTTGGGGGCAGGGACTGTCCCACTATTATATAGATGTAAGGATAAGATTAAAAAAAATACAGTTATCTGCCCTAAAGTTGCTTACATACTTTCAGAGGATACAATATATATACGGAGAAGTAAAAAGATCATTTTAGGAAGGAAAGAATACTAACAGCTAATCATGGGAGGTGGTTCTATAATGGCTCCCAATAGGAGGTAGTAGATTAACTTGCTAGTGCAGCCCTTCTTAGTTAGGCCTTGAAGAAGGCTAAAGATTCTAAGACACAGAGGCCAGGAGGGAGACCATCTAAGTAGGCAAGTTAGACTGAAAATATGAGTACGTGAAGAAAAGTAATGGGAATTAGGTCTGGAAAAAGCAGGATGGAGCCAGACTGTGAAAGGCTTTAAGTACTAAGCTGAGGAATTTGGTATGGTAAGGCAGTATGTTACAGTGGAGAGAGTGGTTCAAAGCCAGGCTGTGCTACTTGTTACCTCTGGGTCCTTAGGCAAGTCATTTAAACTCTCAGGGCCTCAGTTCCTTATCCTTAAACTGAGAAAGTTGAATTAGATAGCTTCTAATGTCCCTTCCAGCTCTAAAACCTATGATTCCAGAGATAACAGGGAACTACCGAAAATCCTTGGGTAAAGTAACATAATCAGAAGTGTGCTTTAGGAAGATGATGTTGGCAGCTCTTAGAAGCACCCTTTCCCTCTCCTGCTGCTCAAGGAGCCGGCCACCACCATGAATGACACTGTAACCATCAGAACCAGGAAGTTCACGACAAACAGACTTCTTCAGTGTAAACAGATGGTTATAGATGTCCTTCATCCTAGAAAGGCCACAGTGCCCAAGACTGAAATTCGAGAAAAACTGGCCAAGATGTACAAGACAACTCCAGACATTATTTTTATCTTTGGATTCAGAACCCATTCTGGTGGTAGCAAAACAACAGGCTTTGGCATGATTTATGATCCCCTTGACAATGCAAAGAAAAATGAACCAAAGCACAGACTTGTAAGGCATGGCCTGTATGAGAAGAAAAAGACATCAAGAAAACAGCGAAAGGAATGCAAGAACAGAATGAAGGAAATCAGAGGTACTGCAAAGACAAATGTTGGTGCTGGCAAAAAGTGAGCTGGAGATTTCACAACAGAAGGAATAAAAGGCACTATGGATGATGTTTATCCGTGAAGATAATTTTTCATCAAAGCATAAATAAATTATGTAAAAACTTAAAAAAAAAAGAAAGAATAAGTGCAGGGAGTCCAGTTAGAAGGCTACTGCACTGCAATAGCCCAAGTAAGAGGCCTGATAATATGAGGGCCTGATGTGGTTACTGGCTATGTGAGTAGAGAGGAAGGAAGAGACACCAGTCATGGAGGTAGCATAGACTTGACAACTCTGTGGATGTGAAGGATGAAGGAGAGGGAAGAGCTGAGGATGATTCTGAAGTTCTGAACTCTGGGGTACTAAAAGGATGGTGGTATTCTCAAAAGAAATAGCTAAGTTTGGAGGAAGGACAGGTTTTAGGGGAAAGATGAATAAAGAATGTTTTAGATATACTGTTTGAGAAGCCTAAATATCATCTACTTTAGTGATCACCTTTGCATGCCAGAGATTTTAGGATTTCTTTCAAATGTTGAAAAAAGCTCAAGGAGTCTGAGCACAATGTAGTGGACCTGCGTACAAATCCCCAGTAACCACAGAATGTTTGGCAAGACCCTTCACAGTTTAGCAGCCTCAGTTTTCTCATCTGTAAAATAAGCAGACTGGATTATCACTAAATGGTCTTTAAGTTGTTTTCTTTCCAGCAACTGAAGAGACACACTGGCATGCTAGCTGGAGAGCTGCCTTAGAACCAAGACCTGGGTTCAAGACTCACCTCTGCCTGTGCTGATGCTGAGTAAGTCCTAAGCTCTCTTCTAAGCTGCAGAGCAGGGGCAGTGGTAGAAGGAATTTCCTCATCCAGGAGCTCCTTAGACCAACCAAATCATAGGTACAGTCCCTATGCCCACCCTCCCAGGCAATCACAGTCCATCACTATGAATCAGCAAGATAAAAAAGTAGAAATACAAAGACAAATAAGAAAAACAGGAGAGGAAAGGCCAGTGAATCTGGCTATTACTGAAAGGTGACTTTGGAGAGAGCAGTTCTAGTCACATCACAATGTGTTGCAATGATTGCATATGAGCTATATTAGTTGTGATATATGAATGTAATGTAACGTCTTGCTATAAGAAGGAATGGATATGGGGGCAGCTAGGTGGCCCAGTGGATAGAGCTCTGGTCTTGGAGTCAGAAGGACCTGAGTTCAAACCTGGCCTCAGACACTTGACACTTTCTAGCTATGTGACCCTGGGAAAGTCACTTAACCCTGACTGCCTCACCAAAAAACAAACAAACAAAAAAAAGACAGAAAAAAGAAAGAAAAGAAAAGAAAGGATTCATATGATGAACACACAAAAGCATGGGGGAAAGCATGCAAAATGAAGCAACGTGAAGCAAGCAAAATCAGGAAAACAATATACATACAACAAAACAGAAAGAACAATGAGAAACGATCAAAACTATACTAATAAAGTCTCGTCCTGCAAGAGATATGAGAAAGCACCCCCCACCTTGGCAGGAAAAGGGTAGGGGGCTGTGGATATGGGACACACTGTATATAATGTCAAACTTTTTTGAAATGATGGTTAGTTCTGCTAAATTTTTTCCCCCGACTTTTTTATTGGTTGTTTTAAGAGATGGCTCTCTCAGAGAATGGGGGAGGGGCAAATTGAAAAATGTTGTCAATGTAAAAACAACAACAACAAAAAATAATAAATAAAGCACAGGGTCAGCTAGGTGGCGCAGTGGATAGAGCACCGGCCCTTAAGTCAAGAGGACCTGAGTTCAAATCCGATCTCAGATCAAACACTTGACACTTACTAGTTGCGTGACCCTGGACAAGTCACTTAACCCTAATTGCCTAAAAAAAAGAAAAGAAAAAAAGAAAAGAAAAGAAAGCACAAAAAGTCACAACGAGTGGAAAAGTGAATGGTTGATAAGGGAATAATAAAGGCAAGGACCATATTCTAAAAGTTTGGCAGTGAAGGGAAGGAGACAGATTGGATCCTTTCCGGATCCCCTCTTCTCCCTACCCCTCCCCAACCTTGGTCAAGAGCGATCTGATTTCAAGGGCGCTGATGCTAAATCCAGGAGCCAGGCTTGTGTCTGCCTTGGTGCAGAGACGAACCCAGAAACGCTGAGTGGCCAGAGGTGTGTTCTATTGGGGGCGGGGGACGCTGAGGCATAATTGGTCAGCGACACCTGGTCAGAGAGCGAGCAGAGCAGAAAGAATGGCCCCAAAGGGCGGCGGGGAGAGACGGGGAGAGGCCGGGGGAGACTGAGGGAGGCTGGTTCCGACCCATCGGGAGCCCTACTCAACCAACACCCAACTCACCCAAAACTAAGTCGACCACGGCAACAGCGGCAAGTACGGACCGGACGCGGAAGCCAAGCGGTGGAGCCCCGCCCACTTCCTGCCGTGTCTCACTTCCGGGGCCGCTCTAGGCTCGCTCCGAGGTCTATGCATCCTGTAGTCCCACTCTCCAGGGACTGTGGGAAAGAGCTTGGGGCTGGAGAAAGGAGGAGACCTGAGGGAGGCTGGGAGGAGGGGAGGAAGAGAGGTCTTTATCTTCTCTTCACGTAGTTGTTTGCAGCAGAGAAAGTTTGTAGCCTTTCATTGTATGCTTGGCACATTGCATCTTAGCACAGTGCCTTGCCCTTAATAAATGCTAAATCACTAACTGAAGCTGACAGACTGGCTGTCATTTAGTATCTCTGACACCTTATCTCTTAACTTCTGTGGGCCTCAGTTTCCTCAGCTTTAAAATAAGGAGATTTATCTCTAGCTCTACAGCTATGATCCTATGAACCATAAAATTGAGAACAAAGAAACTAGAAATAATCAACAAAACTAAGCTGTTTTTTTTTAAAGACTAACAAAAATGATAAATCATTAGCTAACTTGAACAAGAATACTGAAAGGAAGATCAAATTACCAAAATAAAAAATTGAATGAGGTGAGTTTGCAATGAGCATAGAGGAAATAAAAAGAATTGCCAGACACTACTGCCCACAAAACGGACAGCTAAGTGGTGCAGTGGATAGAGTGCCAAGCCTGGAGTCAGGAAGACTCATCTTCCTGAGATCAAATCTGGCCTCAGACACTTAAGTCACCTAACCCTGTTTGCCTCAGTTTACTCATCTGTAAAATGAGAAGGAAATGGCAAACCACTCCAGTATCTCTGCCAAGAAAACCCCAAATGGGGCCAGGGACAGTTGGCCATGACAGAAACAACTGAACAGATAACCTACATGAGCTCTTCAGTTCACTACCTGTGTGACTTCTGACCAAGTCCCTTCCCTTTTCTGAGATTCAGTTTTCCCATCTGTACAATGAAGGGATTGGATTAGAGATAACCTCGAAGGTTCCTTTAGATCTCAAGTCCTCTTCTGTTCTTGCAGATTTGCATCATCTTCTGATGACATACCACTGACCAGAGATTTGGATCCCTGCCCACTTGGATGACATGATGACACCACAAGAGATTAGCCTAAAGCTTTCAGGATTCTATGTATTCACTTGATCAGAAAAATGAACAGTAGCAAAAAGAGAGGATTCCCTGAAAACCCATGCACCCTGAAACTATGAGGACAGTGGTTTTTGCTTGTAAATGAAATCTTAAATTCATAGTAGTGTAGTGTGGGATGTGTACTATATGTATCTATATCTCTGTATTTATACACATACATACACACATATACATGTGTCTAATAACCATTCTCCAATAGGTAAGTGGTAAGAAAAAAAAAAAGGGATATGAATGAGGGGGCAGCTAGGTGGTGCAGCGGATAGAGCACTAGCCCTAGAGTCAGATGGACCTGGGGTTCAGACACTTACTAGCTGTGTGACCTTGGGCAAGTCACTTAACCCCCATTGCCTTGAAAGAAAGAAAGAAAGAAAAGGATATGAACAAACAGGTCTCAAAAGAATAACTGCAAAGTATTCACAATCACATGAAAAAGTGCTCCAGATCACTAATAATAAGAGAAATGCAAATCAAAACAACCCTGAGGTTTTCCCTCACACCCTGTAAATTAGCAAAAATAACAAAAAATGGCAACAGTCAATGTTAGAGGGTTGTGGGAAGTTAGGCACACTAATACGATGTTGGTGGAACTGTGAAATGGTATAGCCATTTTGGAAAACAATTTGGAAGTAGGCAAATAAAGTGACTAAAATGTCCATACCCTTTGAACTAGAGACTCCATTATTGGGTTTATACCCTAAGGAAATCATCAATAAGAAAAAAGTCCCCATATACTCCAAAATACTTACAGCAGCACTTCTTGTGAGAATTAAGAATGAGAAACTAAGTAGATACTGATCATTTGGAGAAGAGCTAAACAAATTGTGGTACATGAATGTAATAGAATATTACTGTGCTGTGAGAAATAAGATGTGTGATGGATGAGTGCAGAAAAGCATGGAAAGATCTGTATGAACTGATGTGAAGTAAAGTGAGCAGAACATAACAATATACACAGTAACTGCAATAATGTAAATGGAAAGAATGACACACCAAAAATGATAATTAAATGTAACAAAATTCTAAAGATCAAATAGGACTCAAATGAAGAGATATTAGAAGACACCCACAACCTACCCCTTTGTGGGGGCGGAAAGTTCACAGGTGTTATGCATTGCACATGTTTTTGGACTTTTTCAACATATCAATCAGTTGTGCTGACTTTTTTTCTCTCTAAAAAATACGATTTTTCATATAGGGTGGCTCTAGGGAAGGGGGAGGGGGAGAAACACATGGGATATTCTGGTGATGTTAGAAAGAGAAACCATCAATAAAAACTTATTTTAAAAATTGCTATAAATATAGAGATCCCCCAAAAGGGGAGACTAACCCTGTAATAACTCCAAGCAGAATCCTTACAAAGGAAAAAATGGATTTTCCAAAAGGACTACATTACTACCTAGAAGAAATGAAGCAAGAAATTAAAGAAATAAATAAAACCTCTAGAGGAAAGAATTGGAAGGAGAATAAGTGACTTAGAAGAAAAAGTGATAAACGTTAGCCAAGAGATAGACTCTCTGAAAACTAAAATAGACCAAAGAAATATCAATAATTTGGTCCAACCATTCTGTAGAACAATTTGGAACTATGCCCAACGAGCTATAAAACCATGCAAACCCTGTGACCCAGCAATACAACTACTAAGAGATCCAAGAAAAGGGAAAAGAACCTATATGTACAAAAATATTTATAGCAGCTCTTTTTGTGTTAGCAATAAATTGGAAATTAAGGGAATGTCTATCAATTACGGAATGGCTGAACAAGTTGTGGTACATGATTGTGATGGAAGACTATTGTGCTATAAGAAATGACAAGCAGGAAGTTTTCCAGAAACCTGGGAAGACTTCTATGGACTGATGCAAAGTGAAGTGAGCAGAAACAGTAACAGCAATATTGTGATCAACTAGGAAAGTCTTGGTTACTCTGATCAATACAATGATCTAAGACTATTCCAAAAGACTCATGATGAAAAGTGTTATCCATCTCCAGAGAGAGAACTGATAAAATCTGACTGCAGATTGAAGCATACTTTTTTCACTTTCTTTATGTTACTTGATTTTTTTTGCAACATGGCTAATAAATAAATATGTTTTGCATGAATTCACATGTATAATTGATATCATATTGCTTGCCCTCTCAATGTTGGTTTAGGGGTGGAAGGGAAGAAGAGAATTCAGACTTCAAAAAAATTTTAAATGAATGTTAAAAATAAAGAAAAAAAGAAAAAGAAAAAAATAAATTAATGACATCCATGACACAGCATAACTTATTAGAACAAAATCAATAGAGTGAAAAATAGAAGAAAATATAAGATCTGATATCAGAAACAACCAAACTGGAAAACAAGTCAAGGAGAAATAATTTTAGAATCATTGGTAATTGAACTTAGAAAAAAAAAAAAAACAAGTAGCTGGAGATAAAAAAAAAAAAAACTTTGAAATAAATTTCTCTGATAAAGGCCTCATTTCCAAAATATATAAGGAACTGATTCAAATTTATAAGACTTAGAGACATTGACCCTATAGATAAATGGCCAAAGTATTTGAACAGTTTAGAAAGGAAGACATCCAATCTATCAATAACCATATAAAAATGCTCTAAATCATTAATAATTAAAGAAATGCAAATTAAAGTAATTTTGGGGTTACACGGGTAACCCTAACCCCTCCAGCTGGCAAAAATGACAAAAGAGGAAAATAATAAATGTTAGAAGGGCTGTGGGAAAACAGGTACATTAATGCATTGTTGCTAGAGCCGTGAATTGGTTGGTCCAGGCATTCTGGAAATCAGTTTGGAATTATGACCAAAAAGTTACCAAACTGTGCATATTTTTTGACTCCAAACTATACCAGTAGTAGGTCTATAACCCAGTGAGATAAAAAGAAAGGAGAAAAGGACCCAAATGTACCGATATATTTATAGCAGCTCTTTTCATGGTGGGCAAAAAAAAATTGGAAACTCAGGAGGCATCCTACTATTGGGGAACAGCTAAATAAACTGCAGATTATACATGTCACAGGATATTATTGTGCCATAAGAAATGATGAAATGGATAATTTCAGAGGAAACTGGGAAGACCTTTATGAATTGATGTAGAGTAAAATGAACAGAACCAGGAGAACGATTTATATGACAACAACATTGCAGAGGGAAAAAAATCTTTGAAAGACTTTAGAAATATGATCAGTGCAATCACAAAATATGAGTACAAAAGAATGAAGATAAAAAACACACTACTTACCGCCCGAGGTGATGGATTTACAATGCAGAAAGAGACATACATTTTTGAACATGGCTAATATGGAAATTTGTTTTGCTAGACTATGCAGCTATGTGCTGAGGGCTTCATTTTTCAGTTTTTTTATTTTATTTGTTCAATGAGGGGTTGGGTAGTGGCAGAGACAGATCAATTTCTTTTAAATGCTTGTTAATTAAGGAAAAAGAAAAAGAAAAATAATAAACCAGAAAAAAGATAAGTAGTTGAAAAAGAGTGGCTAGTGGCACAGTGAATAGAGTGCCAGCCCTGGAATCTGGAAGACTTATATTCCTGAGTTAAAATCTGGCTTCAGACACTTATTAGCTGTGTGACCTTGGGCAAGCCACTTCACCCTCTTTGCTTCGATTCCTCATCTGTAAAATCAGCTGGAGAAGGAAATGGCAAACCACTCCACTATCTTTGCCAAGAAAACTCCAAATGGGGTCAAGAAGAGTCAGACATGTTTGAAACAACTCAACGACAACAAAGTTGAAAAAGAATTATGAATAGCAGTGTCATCATAGAAACTGTCAGTCAAAAAGAAAACCCATCCAACACAATACTGTTATTTTTATAGGTTATAAATATC